CCTCTAGCAGAAGGGCTGAGAGGGAAGTGAGTCTCTTTCCCAGGCCCCTCAGGGCTGCTTCGGCTTTAGGCGAAAATTAAGTGTTTGACAGCTGTGGACTTCCACCCTCAACCTTGGCTCCATGCCTGTGGATAAGAAGAAGGTTTGTGGGGAAGAAGGCTTGGAGCAGAGATGTGGGCTTCCTCTTCCTCCCCCTCAGTCACAACTGCCGAACCCAGAATGGAAACCAAACTCTGAATGAATCAAATTTGAATTTGGGCACACCTACACCTTCAAGATCCAATTACCCACTGTGGATCATGTGGATAAGCTGCCCAGCCCACCCTCCTGCCCTTATCCTAATTATTTTCTTAGGCCCAGAGCAACAGATTTAAAATCACCATCCACCCACCTAACTCTGTATCCTGAAAGCCGTCTTCAAATGCACACAATATTTGAGGAAGCGGAAAGGGGCCCCTCATTCCACGAGGGAATATTACTTAATAGCCCAGAAATGAAACCACTACTTCCTCTTCGTGAACAGTCCAGATATGAGACAGTCCACTTCCCCCTCTACTTGTCTCACCAATATATATCCCTGGTATGTCTGGGACAGGATACTGCCTTCAATACCCATATGGAAAATCACTGACATACTCCTCATCAAGAGCTAGCAGATAAAAAGGAAGCATTTAATGATGCTTATCCATGGCTCAACGAGAACAGTTGGTAAAAGAGGGAGTTCATAACAGGTGTCATGAGAGGACTCTGATGTTTGGAAAGTTGGGGAATCATTCAAAGATGTAGGCCCATTTAAGACTGGATCAGGGCCGGGCGCGGTGGCTCAAGCCTGTAATCCCAGCACTTTGGGAGGCCGAGGCGGGTGGATCACGAGGTCGAGAGATCGAGACCATCCTGGTCATCATGGTGAAACCCCGTCTCTACTAAAAATACAAAAAATTAGCTGGGCATGGTGGCACGTGCCTGTAATCCCAGCTACTCAGGAGGCTGAGGCAGGAGAATTGCTTGAACCCAGGAGGCGGAGGTTGCGGTGAGCTGAGATCGCGCCATTGCACTCCAGCCTGGGTAACAAGAGCGAAACTCCGTCTCAAAAAAAAAAAAAAAAAGACTGGATCAGAAATCAGAAAACCAGAAAAGACCTCCTCTTTATCTGGCCCTGCATGGCTAAATGGGAAGAAACGTTGCAGAGAATGAGAAAGGTTCTGTGGCAGTCAAGGAAAGGAGGCCAGAGTGGAACCCAGGAGGATCCTGGAAGGCTGCCAGTTGTTCAGAACCAAAGGAATTTCTTTTGTTTCTTCCTTTCCTTCCTCTTTCCTTTCCCTTCCTCTCCTTTTTCTTATTTTGAGACAGAATCTCAACCTGTTGCCCAGGCTGGAGTGGAGTGCAGTGTTGCAATCACATCTCACTGCAGGTTCTAACTCCTGGGCTTGAGCAATCTTCTACCCCAGCCTCCTGAGTTGCTGGGATCAAAGGCATGCACCTCTACGCCCAGCTAATCTACTTTATTTTATTTTGCTTCATTTCATTTTGAGATGGGTCTCACTATGTTGCCCAGACTGTTCCTGAACTCCTGGTCTCAAGGGATCCTCCCCCTTAGACTCCCAAAGCACTGGGATTACAAGCGTAAGACACTGTACCCAACCGTAGAGGATTTTTTTTAAAGTTTTTGGGGAACAGGTGGTGTTGGATTACATGAATGAGTTCTTCAGTGGTGACTTCTGAGATTTAGGTGCACCCATCACCTGAGCAGCATACACTGTACCCAATGTGGAGACTTTTATCCCTCACCTCCCCCACCCTTCACCTGGGTCCCCAAAGTCCATCGTATCATTCTTATGCCTTTGCACCCTCATAGCTTAGCTCCCACTTACGAGTGAGAACATACGATGTTTGGTTTTCCATTCCTGAGTTACTTAGAGTAATGCTCTCCAGTTCCAACCAGGTTGCTGCGTATGCCATTATTTCATTCCTTTTTGTGACTGAGTAGTACTCCATGGCATTTATTTTCTTTATCCATTCATTGATTGATGGGCATGTGGGCTGATTTCATATTTTTGCAATTGTGAATTGTGCTGCAATAAACATGTGTGTGCATGTATCTTTTTTTTCTTTTTTCAAGACAGAGTCTTGCTGTGTCACCTAGGCTGGAGTGTGGTGGCACGATCTTGGATCACAACCTCCATCTTCCAGCTTCAAGCAATTCTCCTGTCTCAGCCTCCCGAGTAACTGGGATTATAGGCATGCATCAACATGCCCAGCAAATTTTTGCATTTTTAATAGAGACAGAAGTTTCACCACGTTGGCCACGCTGGTCTCAAACTCCTGAACTCGTGATCTGCCCGCCTCGGCCTCCCAAAGTGCTGGGATTATAGGCATGAGCCACTGTGCCCAGCCTATCTTTTTTGTATAATGACTTCTTTTTCTCTGGGTAAATATCCAGTAGTGGGATTGCTAGATCAAATGGTAGATCTATTTTTAGTTCTTTAAGGAATCTCCAGACTGTTCTCCATCTTGGTTGTACTGGTTTACATTCTCACCAACAGTGAAGTGTTCCCTTTTCACCACATCCATGCCAACAACTGTATTTTTTTAAAAAAATTTATTATGGCCATTCTTGCTGAAGTGAGGTGGTACCGCATTGTGGTTTTGATTTGCATTTCCTGATAATTAGTGATGTTGAGCATTTTTTTTTTCATATGTTTCTTGGCCATTTGTATACCTTTTTTTGAGAATTGTCTATTCATGTCCTTAGCCCACTTATTTATGGCATTGTTTTGTTCTTGCTGATTTATTTGAGTTCCTTGTAGATTCTGGATATTATAACAGTCCTTTGCTGAATATATAGATTGCAAAGATTTTCTCCCACTCTGTGAGTTGTCTGTTAACTCTGCTGATTATTTCTTTTGCTGTGCAAAAGCTTTTTAGTTTAATTAAGTCCCATATATTTATCTTGGTTTTCGTTGCATTTGCTTGTGGGTTCTTGGTCATGAAGTCTTTGCCTAAGCCAATGTCTAGAAGGGTTTTTCCAGTGTTATCTTCTACAATTTTTATGGTTTCAGATCTTATATTTAAGTCTTCAATTCATCTTGAGTTGATTTTTGTATAAGGTGAGAGATGAGGATCCAGCTTCATTCTTCTACATGTGGCTTGCCAATTATTTCAGCAGCATTTACTGTACCCCCACTGTATCTACAAGTAACCAGCTTGCTTTTGATTTTACAGGCTCATAGGTGGAAGGTACTTGTCTTGTCTCAGATGAGACCTTGGACTGTGGACTTTTGGGTTAATGCTGAAATGAGTTAAGACTTTGAGGGGCTGTTGGGAAGGCATGATTGGTTTTGAAATGTGAGGTCATGAGATTTGGAGGGGCCAGAATCAGAATGATATGGTTTGGTTCTGTGTCCCCACCCAAATCTCATCTTGAATTGTACTCCCATAATTCCCACATATTGTGGGAGGGATCCGGTGGGAGATAGGTTGAATCACTAAGGTGGTTTCCACCATACTGTTCTCATGGAAGTGAATAAGTCTCATCAGATCTGATGATTTTATCAGGGGTTTTTGCTTTTGCATCTTCGTCATTGTTGCCACTGCCATGTAAGAAGTGCCTTTCGCCTCCTGCCATGATTCAGAGGCCTCCCCAGCCACATGGAACTGTAAGTCCAATTAAACCTCTTGTTCTTACCAGTCTCTGGTATGTCTTTTTTTTTTATTGCATTTTAGGTTTTGGGGTACATGTGATGAACATGCAAGATTGTTGCATAGGTACACACATGGCAGTGTGGTTCGCTGTCCTCCATCCCCTCACCTGTATCTGTCATTTCTCCCCATGCTATCTCTTCACACCTCCCCACCACCCCGTCCCTCCCCCATTTCCCCCCAACGGACCCCAGTGTGCAGTGCTCCCCTCCCTGTGTCCATGCGTTCTGTTCTCATTGTTCAACACCCGCCTATGAGTGAGAATATACGGTGTTTGATTTTCTGCTCTTGTGTCAGTTTGCTGAGAATGATTGTTTCCAGGTTCATCCATGTCCCTACAAAGGACGTGAACTCATCGTTTTTGATGGCTGCGTAATATTCCATGGTGTATATGTACCACATTTTCCCTATTAATCAGAAGTGTGAAAAAGAACTAAATACAGGCAGTATGGTCATTTTTACAATATTGATTCTACCTATGCATGAGCATGGGGTGTGTTTCCATTTGTTTGTGTCATCTATCATTTCTTTCAGCAATGTTTTGTAATTTTCCTTGTAGAGGTCTTTCACCTCCTTAAGTATATTCCTAAGTATTTTATTTTTTTATGCAGCTATTAAAGAAGAGGTTGAGTTCTTGATTTGATTCTCAGCTTGGTTGCTGGTGGTGTATAGCAAAGCTACTGATTTGTATTTTGTATCTTGAAACTTTGCTGAATTCATTTACCAGTTCTAAGAGCTTTTTGGATGAGTCTTTAGCATTTTCAAGGTTTATGATCAGGTCATCAGCAAACAGGGACAGTTTGACTTCCTCATTACCAATTTGGATGCCCCCCGAAGAATTTTTAAGACTAACTTATCAAATCTTAAAATCACAACCAAAAGTATAGGAACTGCACATTTCAGACCAATAATTAAATCAGTCGCTGTCCACTGAGGCAACCCGTGAGTATCAAGAAAGTTAAATGCCTAAGCTGCCCCCAAAAATTTCAAGTTAGGAGACCTGTGATGAGGCCCCACAAAAAGCCACCAGCAATGCCTAGCAGGAATGAAGAACCGCTGAGTTAAATTCCAAAGCTGTAGTCACACCCCACTTCCAACCCATTCACCCCTAACCTTTCCCAGGACCCAAACCAGCCTCAAGTGCGTTGGCACAGTATGGCTTTCCTCCAGGAACTTCAGTTTTTCCAGAAGTTTCTAACTGTAAATTCCTCACCAAGATTTCACTTCCTCCTATAATCAAGGCATAAAGATAGGACAATTTCCACAAACCACATTTATTTAGAAATAATGTTCCATAGGAATGATTTGGGTTGGTTTTTTATCTCTGCTTCTTCTCGGCAACTCATCCACTAAAAACACAGCTCACAGGAGGGTCTGATCCAATGGGGTGCTTGAGGCCATTCAGCTCAGCCCAGTTCCCAGGGCCAGTGTCCCATTCCAGAGGCCAAGTCCATGCTCCCCTCCCGTCATCAAAGCCTGTTCCTCCAGAGCTGTCCAGTCTCTCTGCCAGGCCCCAAACTCTCCATCATCAGCGCTTTGAGCAAACAAGACAGGAGGGCAGCTGGGAGGGTGGGGGTCTGAATTCACTGGTAGAGTGGCCCAGGACACACAGAGGAGAGAGTCTCTGCCACTGCTGAGATGAAGGGAATCTCCGTTCTTCTCAATAGGCTTGCTGTGTTTTTGGCATTCCCCCACCTGACTTTTTTTCCAGTGAGTTCTGATCTGACCTCAGAGAAGGCCAAACTGGGTGCTGTGGGGGAAGGGAAGAAAGAAACAAAGCACACTGTAAGAAGTTGTTCCGCAATCATAGCAGCTGCGGTTCACTGAGCTCTCTTCATGAGCCCGGCCCAATACTGAATTTCATATGCATTATCTCATTTGATCCTTGCCAGGAGGAGGTAGATTTTACTATTCCCATTCTAAGGATAAGGAAACTGAGGCTCAGACAGGCCAAGTTACCTGCCCAAGACCATCTGGCTGCATCAGAGTCAGAATTTGGACCCAGGTATGTCCAACTCCACAGCTTGTTATTTGAACCACTGTGTTCAGCCTCAGAAAGGGAAACCAGCAAGGTACCACTACAGTTACATGAATTCCATCAACTCAACAACAGAAAACAAAGGCTCTTTGTTACTCCTGCTCCCTATCAGAGAACGCCTTTGCAAATGAAGTCTCAAACAAGCGGCCTGCAGTCCCAAATTCACCAACAGGTTTATTTAACTTGGCACATCATATTTTAAAATAACCTGACCAGCCCCTGCCGGCCTTTGAGTTTGCAGCCCGGGCTTCTCCTCTGACTCTGTTGGATCTGGTTCAAGAGGACAGGAATGGTGTTTTCCACAAAATCCAAACCATCATTGCCTAGCTTTAAACCTGGGGGAGGTAGCTGTGAAGACAATTGTTCTTCCTGCATCATCTCCACCTCGGAGACTTTCTGCAAACAGTGCCACCCTGGCTGGTGACCCACTCAGCAGTAGCCACAAGGCAGCTGCATCAGCAGGTCTCCAGGAGCCAGGATGAGGCCTGGCAAGTTACTGCAGCATCATATAACAATAACGGGAGAAAGATACAGGGGAAAATGACTCCATTCAGCTGCAACTTCAGAGTAGAGTTAATGTTTCACTCGGTGGATCCAAGCCAGGCCTCTGATCTCACACTTCCCTGGCAGACGTTTCTCTGCAGCAATCAGCTGGGAGTCATGTGTCCTCAGGGCTGGTGCAACACAAACAAAGCCCATCATTCCACAAGCAGAGGAGGCCAGCCTTCCCGAACCCAGCAGAACACTGCTCCTTAATGGGCTGGGTGCCTGTAATTAGTCTACAAATAGCACAGTGCTCATTGCCAGCTCACTCCTTTTGTCCCTACCCCTACTCACCATACACCCAGAGGTGCCTTTTCTAGGTACTATAGTTCCTTAGGGGGCTATAGAAGTCTAAGCAAAGGAAAAGTAGAAATCAGACTCCAAAATATTGTAGGAGATCCAGCATGTAGCCCGCCTGGCAGTTAGCTTATGAGAAGGTATAATAAAAAGTTAAAAAAAAAAAAACCTAGGCATCAGAATGAACCCTACTTTGACCTTTTAACGGGAAGAAAGCAATTCATTGCAACATAATACTTGCCCAAGGATCTTATCCTATTTTCTTTCTCAGGAGTGCAGTAGTACAACCTCAGCTCACTGCCACCTTCACCTCCCAGTTCAAGCAATTCTCCTGCCTCAGCCTCCCAAGTAGCTGGGATTACAGGTGCCTGCCACCATGCCCAGCTAATTTTTTGTATTTTTAGTGAGGAGGGAGACTCAGGCATTTGGGATTCCCTCCCCCTCTGTCATCCACTGTGTATCTCAATAAAAAAGAGAGCAGGCCAGGGGGCACCTCCTGAATCTCCTTCCTGAAAACAACAGGCTAGGCCTTGGGGAAGCTCTCCAGAAGGCACTATTTTTACTTAAAACAAGATCAAACCAGAAACTTTTTCACACGTGTGTCCTAAAACTGTAAACTGGAACCTTTCATATGTGATTCCTGAAACTGTAAACCAAAACCTTTTCACATGTGAGTCCTAAAACTGTAAACCAGAACCTTTCTTATGTGATTCCTGAAACTGTTAACAGAGACCTTTTCACATGTGAGTCCTAAAACTGTAAACCAAAACCTTTTCACATGTGAGTCCTAAAACTATGAACCTAAGATTCTCCCCCGTGTAACATCTAAAGTATAAGCCTATATAAAGGCTGAACCTCCCTTTGTTAAAGGAGCCTGGCTGTTAGGCACCTATGACACCTTGCTCCCAGCTGAAATAAATTCCTTCCTCCTGTATTCAGTGTCTGAGAGATCCTTTCCCAAGGCCGCTCCTGCTACATTAGTAGAGACGGGTCTCACCATGTTGACCAGGCTGGTCTTGAACTCCTCACCTCAAGCGATCTACCTGCCTCAGTCTCCCAAAGTGCTAGGATAACAGGCGTGAGCCACTGCACCTGGCCTTTTTTTTTTTTTTTTTTTTTTTTTTGAGACAGAGTCTCGCTCCATCATCCAGGCTGGACTGCAGTGGTGCAATCTCAGCCCACGTAACCTCCACCTCCCAGGTTCGAGCAACTGTCATGCCTCAGCCTCCCAAGTAGCTGGGATTACAGGTACACATCCTCACACCTAGCTAATTTTTATATTTTTAGTAGAGAGGGGGTTTTGCCACATTGGCCAGGCTGTCTTGAACTGGCCTTAAGCAATCTGCCCACCTGGCCCTCCCAAAGTGTTGGGATTGCAGGCATGAGCCACCACACCCGGCCATATTTTCTTTATTAGTTCAAACTGATGAGGCAAAAGGCATCTCGCTGCCCCTGGTAAGGTCACTCTTCATTTCTTGTCACCACTAACATAAATAACCTCTGGTGATGACCTTTAATTCTTGAGACTGGGTAAAAAAGTTCAATATTACTCTTCTACCCAGCAGAACTTCAGTTTCTCAGACTTTCCTGCTACTTAGAAAAATCTCTGCCCTCAGCAGCCTCCCAGGACAACCCAGCCATGCCCACCACCAACACCACCTGAGCCTCTGACACCTGGCTCAGCCAGGGCCGGAATCATTCTCACCATGGTCATGTAGGTGGACTCTGAGTTTTCACTTGGTTTTTCTTCCTCAGTCACCTCCCGTGTAGTTATTGAGGAGTAAATGTGTTTCTAGAGGGGGAAAATGGTACAAAAATTCCTAAAAATTAGATGACTCTTATACACCAGAGTAAAGGTCACCCACTCCTATTTGCTGGGGATTGACTACCCAAATTGATAGGTTCTAAGGGTTACTAAGAGCTAGAGAATTCTCAAAAATGTTAATTCAGTCTTCTGTCTTGAAAACTGCCAAAGAACACAGTCTTAAGAATCAAACTCTTTGCCTCAAAAGTCAAACATCTTTGTTTAGATGGAGGTTTAGGTAGCAACAGGGGTTCCTTTTCTTGCTAAATTCCTTGTATTCTGTGGTTATTTCCTTCTAATTACAATAAAGGCAGAATGGCACTAATCAGCAGTGAATTGTCATCAACTCCCTCAGAGAGTTTATGTGGCAGGGCCAGCCCTCATTGAGCCTCACAACTTCAAGGCTCATGGTCCTGTCACTCATTGGGAATGCAGTATCATCACCAGTGACCCATTCTTGGACTTCTGGAGGCCCCTGCACTCTATCGGGAGAAAATCCTACTCTCGGGACAAAAACAGCCCAAGACAGAGAAAGGAAACTAAGAAAGGAGAACAGGAGTTAAAGAAAACCAATCCATTTCTCAGTCTCTAGAAGCAATTGTTTATAACTTCATTACAAATCAAGATGGAGAGAAAAGTCCTTCTTAATCCTTTCTTGCCAAAGGTCTTAGACGATTTCATTTTAAGCATTAAAACTCCTTAACTCCTGAATGTATTATAATTCTCCATTAGACTTTAGACAAATAGCACCTCCTAGATTACAAAGCATTTGCATGTCATCATCTTATGTGAGCCTTACACCAACTCTGTCAAGCAGGCTGGGCAACTATAATATCTTTATCCTTATCCTCATTTTGCTGATGAGACTGGGAGGATGGCAGAGCTTTCTGACCTCAAGTGCAGTGCTCTTTCCTCGGCCCAATACCAGGATCTGCTGCTTGGGGCTGGCCCAGCCTCCCCTACCCCCCGTCCACCAACACACTCTAGTCTCCAGAGGCTCTGATCCTAATGACAAAGTCTTCCTGAGTCCCTGCTCTGTGCCAGGCACTGGCCTGCGAGCTGCAACATACAGTGGGTAAGACACGGTTCCCAGGGAATGTTAACGACCCAGGCTTGCAACTACTTAGTGTTTTAGGCTGAAGTGTGTGCTCACCTCCCCTTCATAGCGGACAAAATAGCGGGGTTCTTCTTTCATCTCTGGATTAGTCTTTGTGTTCTTCACCAAGACTGTAGAATTCACTGAACTGCAAGGCATGAAACGCATGTGGAATTACTCAGCTTGTGTGGTTTATCCAAGGGTCCCTATAGGAGACCCCCGATTGGCTTTGTGAAGAGAGAGACCCCAAAGAAGAAACTATTCTTTCTGGACTCCTACAGCCAGGGCAACCTGGCTCACCTGGAAACCTGAGAAGTGCCTTTCCTTTTTTTTTTTTTTTTTTTTTTTGGTGAGACTGAGTCTCACTCTGTCGCCAGGCTGGAGTGCTACGGTGCGACCTCAGCTCACTGCAACCTCCACCTCCTGGGTTCAAGCCATTCTTGTGCCTCAGCCTCCCAAGTAGCTGGGATTACAGGCATGTGCCACCACACCAAGCTAATTTTTGTAGTTTTAGTAGACCATGTTGGGCAAGATGGTCTCTATCTCCTGACATCGTGATCCACCCGTCTCGGCCTCCTAAACTGCTGGGATTACAGGCGTGAGCCACCAGGCCCGGCCAGTGCCATCTCTTCTAATGAAGAACAAGAAGCCATTCTGGAGATAATTTAGGCTGAAAAACAGCTTCGACTTCTCTATTATCACTCAAACCACTTTCTGCCCTATGGGAGATGTAATTTTAAGTGGATGAAGAGAGAGGGGCCATGGGATTCCACCTGACCATCCTCTCTGCATTTCTGAGGACCAGGGAGTGCAGCGGAGCCAGCAGGGGGCAGCAGGAGCTCAGCAAGACACCTGTCCGAAGGGCTCCTGGCCTCTCAGGGGGCGGAGCCCACCCCACCCAAGCCCAGAGCCGGGAGCTCTGAGCCTGTCCTGTCGGGGGGCCCCTTGGCCTTTGATCTCATGACCATTTGCTTTCTGAATATACTTTCTTTTTTCTATTTTGCCCTAAGGCAGAGCTGATATGTATCTCTCTCTCTCTCTCAAGGTTTAAGCTAGAAAATAAACCATATTTTTGGTCTCAGTGGAAATATTTTAATTGTATCTTCTGATTCTAAAGTTGTATCTTCTCATTGTAAAATAATTCAGATAATACAGAAACGTAGACAGTTGGAAGTAGAAGTTCCCTGCAACCCCTCACCCCATGGGATCCACCGTCTCCTTCATCTCAAATACCACACCTTAACTCCTGAAAACTCCTTAAGTCCTTTAAAGGATGGATTTCACGACTATCCTCCCAAGCCTCTCTCAGTGTAAGCATAAGCTCATGTAAAATGTATTCACTACATATGCTGCTGGAGTGAGCACTGTATTATTTTCTCCTTTATAAAAATGAGATCATACGATAACTTCTATGTCATTACCCCTTTGATATCTTTCCATGTCATTACATAGAGGGGTCTGCAGTGTTTCATTGAGTGAAACGCTGGTTCCCTGAATCATTACCTTTCTGACAGACACTGGCAATGATCCCTACTGTTAATTATAAGCAAGACTGCAGTTTTTGCACCAATCTCAGCATATCCATCTAATTATTTCTTTAGAATAAACAACTAGACATGGAAGTACTACCCTTCCTTTGGAGGGAAACTGAGGCCCAGACAGGGAAGTAAGCGGAGAGTGGAACCCAGGTCGTCTAGCTCAGTCCTATGAGCACGCCCAGAGCAAAGACCTTCAGAGAGGCAGCCAAGTTCAAAATCAAATCGGAAAGCCCTAGGGAGTGGAAGTGAAAGCCCAGCAGGCACAAGTGTTTTTCTGTAGGATCCATGACCCACTGGGAAAGAACACCCAAAGGTCAGGATTATCCATGAGGCCCTTTCCCATTGACACTATTTTAATGAGTCAATCTGCGCTACCAACATATTCCATTGATAGCTGGATAAACTGAGGGACACGGATCTGCCAACCACCAGTGGAACACTGATATCCCTGTTGGAGCATCTAGGCACTTCTGAAACTGGGAGAACTACTGATGAAATTCAGGCCTTTAAAAGCCCATTTTAACAATAATTCACTTAGAATCTGAAGGCACCCATTCAAAAATCACATCTCATAATTAGAATGTGGTCTTTTAGGTAAAACCACTGGCAACCCTCAAGATCTTAGCTTCTATGCAGAATGTACAGTGTGCATAATTTAAAAATCATTTCTCTTAAGTAGTGAATGGTGCCATGATAGTACTTGCATAAGATTTCTACTCTGAATTATGCCCTACTGAGACCCCCATTTCTAAGGGAGTTTGTAGTCTTTACGTAATACCAAAGTGAATGGGGATAGCATAGGAACATCCAAGTCTTTTCGGGGGCACAGTGAGCAAAGCAGGCAGGGTTACTGTATGATGACATTTAATTTGACAACCACAGATGATTCCATTTAAAAATACCCCCTTCTGTGAGAATGGCATAGGCAGGGCCCTATCACCCTCTTCCACTTTGGGGTAGAGGCAGCCCTGCACCCCCAGCCTCCCAACCCAAGGGATGGGGGCAGCCCTGTACCTCTTATTCCTACAGGTCCTTTTCACGATCAATATCAGAACAGGGAGCAGCACGATTGTGGCGCAGACAATCCCCACGATGATCACCAGCTGATTACCACCCAGGACCACAGGCCTCAGGGCCACCGGGGTCACCAGTGCTTGGGAAAGGAGAAAAACAAGAAGAGGGTCTCAATACCTTAGCAAAGAGCTGAGAGCCCCACAGCCCTATACCACATAGCACCAGCACCAGCCAGGTCAGGATGTGGAGGGGAAGACCAGACTCCACCCCATATCTGGACACTGGGGACGCTGTTTCCATGAGATTGAGAACCAAAGTCTAACCCCCTTGTTTACCCTAAAATGCAGATTAAGGTGGATGGGAGAAGAGGCTAGCACTTCACCTGTAGTAAGTTTCCTTTCACATCAACAATTCTATTCTAAAACTTGGCTTATCAAGTGACTGAGAAATAACAGGCATCTTAGAGGCTGCTCATCTTCCAAAGGGCAAGTAATCGCTTTCAAAAGAACGCATGCCGCAAGACTCAGCCCCACTGTGACGATACCAAGTAAAGCCTTCGCAGGAACTTCTGCCCATACGGTACCTTCTACTCAACTGCTCGGTTCTAAAAACATAAAGCAAATGCCTCCTCAGCGCCAGACAGCAGTAGGTACAGGGGATTCAGAGACAAATGACGTGTGGTCCCTGCTTCCAAGGAAGGAGACAAACATGTCAACAGAAAACCACACACTGCTCTAGGTACGAGAGAAGTCTGCATGGGGAACAGAGGGGCACAGAAAAAAGAGTGCCCAATTCTATGTGCAGCAAATGAGAACTTGCCAGCAAAAGTTCCAACATTTAACCTGAGACTTATAGGAAACGCCCAGTTTGTTGGGCAGACATACCCAACATGGGGAAGGACTCGTATTTTCTCTGTGAATTGGACTTCTGAGAATGAAGCACACACAGAGATGATGGTTCTTTAAGAAACCCATATGCCTGCTCCCCCATGCAGGGGGGATGTTCTGCATGAGGTCTGGAGGCCTGGCAGAATGGTGGCTTTAGAAACTTGAGAGAGTTCAATGAGTCTGGCACAAAGGTGGCATTTGCGGGTGTGCTCGAGAGATGACAGGGTCCAAGGCAGGAAGGACCTTGACTATCTCAACCAAGAATCTGGCGTTTTTCTGCAGGCGATGGAAAAACCATTGAAGGATTATAAGCAGTGGAAGAGAAAGTTCTGAATGTGATTTAGAAAGATGCCACCAAGAGCCATATGAAGAATGAGGAGCAGTGACTAAGAGTGAAAGCAGAGACTGGTGAGAGGCCTGCCGGAGATAAAGACAGCCAGGACTCAGGCAGCAGTGACAGACTGGAAGAAAGACTTCAAGAGTCTGTAGTAGAAGTCAAGGACTTGTTGACCTGTCAGATGAGGGATCTGGGAAACAGACTCGAGCACACCCCAGGCATCTAGTTAGACAACTGAGGTTGGGGAGATGGGCTGAGGAGGGTGTGTAGGGGTAGGTTTAGACATGTTGCATTTGAAGGATTTGTGGGAAACCTGTGTAAAATTGACTGTATATATGCGTGGGTGTGTGTGGGATCGTGTCCAACATAGAATGCATACGGAATATGGTATCCAATGCTGCTGAGGCTCAGAAGGCTGAGGATGGATAATGGGAGTGCCATTGGTGATCTAAGCTAGAGTAGAGGTAAAAGAAGCCAGAATGCAGTGCACTGAGGAGTTAATGGGAGATGAGACAGTGAGACACCAAACACAGGCCTTCAGCAATGATTTGGCTATGTTGAGAAAGAAATACATGATTGTGGTGGTGGTTATACAGCTCTGAATGTATTAAAACCATTCAGCTGAACGCTTTAAATGGGCAAATTGTATGGTATGTGAATTGTATCTCAGGAAAGCGGTCTTCAGAAAAAGGAAGACATAGAATGGAGCTTAAGTAGGTAAGTGGTAGAATTGAGCCAATGTTCTGTTGAATGGTCGAAACCAACAGAAGGTGAGAGCTCAAAGAGCCCTGCTGTAAGGCTCCTGTGAAGGAGGCCACCTGGGCACAGGGGGCCAGATAAGCCCAGAGCAGAAGGGACCTTCCTCTGCCTCCAGATGTCAGGGCAGAGATAAGAATGGAGACAGATATGTTTGTGGGTGGAGAAGCCACGTGAGGCCCCGTAATGGCTCATATTTTCTCTGTGAATTGGACTTCTGAGAATGAAGCACACAGAGAGATGATGGTTCTTTAAGAAACCCATCTGCCCTACTCCCCTCTCCAGCTGGAGACAAGGCACCTCCACAGACTTAAGCCTCTGGCCTGAGGTATGAGGTATGCTCCATCCTCACCCATCTTCCCCGCCCCCAACCAACCACAGCCAACTCCTGAAGGCCCCAGCGAGAGGCAAAGTCCACAGGCCACATCCTGACTGCTAACGGGTTATGGTTTACACTTTAACCCCTCACTTATCAACCTCTCTCTGTCAACACAATTGAGTCTTTCCTCTCCTACACACCTCTGCCTTTGCACACTGTTGGCCAGAATTCAGAACCTCTGATCAGAAAACCCCTCCATTTTTAGTTCTGGTGCCTTCCTGTTTCTCTCTGTTCCTAGCTGTCTCTCACTAGCTTAAGGTCATTTCCTGCTCCACTATAGAGCATTCCACACTTGCTTTCCCATGCAGCCAAGTATGCTGACTTTGGACATCAACTCTGATCCTTCCCTGAGCTCCAGTATCTTTTTTTTTTTTTTTTTTTTTTTTGAGACGGAGTTTCACTCTTGCTACCCAGTCTGGAGTGCAATGGCGCGATCTCTGCTCACCGCAACCTCCGCCTCCTGGGTTCAGGCAATTCTCCTGCCTCAGCCTCCTGAGTAGCTGGGATTACAGGCATGCGCCACCACGCCCAGCTAATTTTTTGTATTTTTTAGTAGAGACGGGGTTTCACCATGTTGACCAGGATGGTCTCGATCTCCCGACCTCGCGATCCACCCGCCTCAGCCTCCCAAAGTGCTGGGATTACAGGCTTGAGCCACCGCGCCCGGCTGCTCCTGTATCTTTAAATCAGTAAATGACCCTGGCAATGAGGGGAGTCTGGCAGAGGGTTGGTATTCATTACATTAGCTCCCCTCTCCTTGACCTAGAAGCAGGGTCGGAACTAGGGTGAGGCAAGTCAGGTACCTGAGGAGCCACCTGTAAGGAGGCATCATTCTCAGGGTTGTGCAAGGCCAGAGTCAACACCTGAGAGGGATGCCTCCTTCAATTTGCATCCTAGGAGCCTCTCCGGCCTCACTCTAGTCCTGGCCCCATGCACCAGCCAGGAGGTCTCTCAGTGCTCCCCAGCCAAATGTTAGATACTTCGAGGTTGTTCCGGGTTCACATGCAGCACAATGGTTTTCTTGAACACCAGGTCCCCTATGTAGATACTGCAGGTGTAGTTTCCTCCATCAGACTCCCTCACGACTTGAAGCACGATGGAACCATCATTGTGGAAAATGTCCCCGACCAGTTCCACACGATTCTGAAAATGGCCCCAGCTCTGGGAGTACGCCCTAGTCATCCCGAGTTTGTGGGAGTAGCGTAACACAATCTCCTCCTAGAAGGGAAGGGGAAAAAGTATGAGCTTGTAAGGACTGGAGGGGAGGAGGGAGGAGGGAAGATGGAGGAGGGAAGATCTCAGGACTCCCAAGGCCCTGCTAGGTGAAGGCAGTAAGGGTATTATCAGAAAGCATCAAATAACAGAGTCATGTATACACACATGTGCATGCGTGTGTACTTGTGAAGGACATCACCAAACCATGAATAGTTTTTCCATCTGAACAGAGGGATGCGAAAAGGAGGACTTGCATTTTGTGTACTTTTTCAATAAGAAAAGCAGTATACTTTTATTCTTGATGACACTTCTAGTTGGATTTCCAACAGGAACCTGAAACACGTCTAAAACTGAACTCATCATTTTCCCCCAAACCAGTTCTTTCCAGTCTACCCCGTTTCGGTACATGGCAATGCCTTCTGCCAGATACTCAGGCTAAAAATCTTGGAGTCATTCTTAATTCCTCTCTTTCTGGAACAACTCACATCCAATCCCTCAGCAAATCCTATCACCTCTGCCTTCAAAATATATTCCCAATGCAGCCAGTCCCACCTCCTCCACTGATGCCATTCCGGTCCAGGCCATCTCTCACCTGGATTCCTGCAACAGCTTTCTTACTTGTCTCCCTGCTTATTCTCTACGACAATCTATTTTCAGCAGACGAGCCTTTCAAAATGGAAGTTAACTCATGTTACTCCTGTGCTCCAAACCCTTCACGGCCCCGCTGTCATTTCTACTAAAATGTAAGGCCCTGCATGACCCAGCCCAACTCCCTTTTCCTGTCTGACTTTAATTCTAGTTGCTCTTCCCTCACCTACTTGGGTCACTTCACTCGAGCTACACAGAGCTCTCGGCTGCTCCTTGCATACTGACCTCAGGGCCTTTGCACTTGCTACTACTGTCTATGACTGTCTAAGAACACTCTTCCCCGCCAGACATATGCAGGGCTCACTTCCTCACTTCCTTCACACCTCTGCGTAAGTGTCATCTCGGTGAGGCCTCCCTGAGCACACATATCATAAAAACCACAAAACCATGCTTTATTGTTCCCCATAGGCTCTCACTATTGCCTGATCTATTACATGCTGCTTTATTATTTTACTGTGTATCCCCCTCCACCTTGGTTGTCACTTTCCCATCAGGACAGGGGCTTTGAGTATTCATCATATAGCAGATGCTTTAAAAATAGCTTGTTAAACGAATGTTGGCATTTAAAAAAAAAAGACACGTAGATTGCTTTTTGATAGCTTTTAAGAAAAGGTAATGAGTGTGCAGACACAAACATGAATGAAGTGACCTGGCCCCCAACATTTTGTCTCTCGTGATTCAAATTCACAACCTTAAAATGTCAACTCTCATCCTATTTTCTCCTGTGAATTACTCACTGGATGACGTTTACATGCATAACAAGCTCTCAGAAGTGAACCTGGGACCACGTGTAGTGGTCACCATGGTTGTCACCCACCGTGACCCACTCAGATACCACAGAGGAATCAAGTGAGTGCAAATAACTTTGTTAGAGAGATGACCTGGGATATGTTTCAATTTATAAAAGTTAGTCTTTAATAAATTTTACCCCTTAACTTTTATTAGTAACAAGTTACTTGGGATATCCCCATGACACATGTTGAGCCATAAATATATGACCACATCATGGTTGAGATCTACTGGTCTAATGAACGAACTTGCTGTTTACTGCTTTATGGAGTTCCCATGAAATACCCCTCACCCTGGCCCCCAGGATCGATCAATCCCAACATGCAAAGTACCGATCAAAAGTACCTCCATCGCATAAATGGGGCAATGAAGCACAGATGAAAACTCACAGAACTAACCCCAGTAAGAATAAAAGTGTAATCACTTTTATGCCTAGCCCATTGCTTTCCCAACAGGGCCACAAAAGTCATCTCCCTCATTCTCCCATGGCCTCTATAAAAAGAAAAATGGAGGAAGAAGAAAACGAAAATGCAGTGGCCAAGTCATATACAAAATGCTTTACATGTGCAATCTCATATCAGCATCTAAAAGTTAAGCATCATCATCAACAACTTCCTCCTCTTCTCCTTCTCCTTCTCCTTCTCCTTCTCCTTCTCCTTCTCCTTCTTCATTGAAGTTATCTTTCCCACCAGAAAGCTGAAATTGCTAGGAGAAGGTCCAGTTCTTACAAGCCTCAAACCCTGGGCTCTTGCAACACCTCCTCACGTACCTGAGCCTACGTCTGTCCTAACATCATCAGCCAGAGCCTTCTATAACACAGGAGATGTTTCCTCCATGTTACCTTGGCACGCTGTCCTGAAAACATCCATTCTACCTTGGTCATGTGTTTTTCTTCTGTGCTCTTGAAAACACATCTCATCTTAGTCGATTCACCCACACGGACCATGAACTCTGAGGATAAAACAGTACATCAAGTCAGACACAAGTTATAATCTATAGAAATCAAAGAATTTCTAGAAGAGATCATGTTTCGCCAACGACCCTCAGCAGCAAAAATCACTGTCACCACCAAACACTGTACATATTCTCTCTGCAGGTGATCCAGATGATTCCATCAAAGTACTCACAGACCCCTCCCTCAGACCAGCCAGCATGGTCCCCAAAATGAGAATACCTTCTAACTGCCCACATGTACCAAGCTCGAGGGTTTCTGCTGTCTCCATATTTCAATAAACACTTTCTGGTCCTCTTTAATTCATTTCTCTTTCCCCTTTTCCAGAATTCCTTCCATGAACTCTAATTCCACATCAAGTTTGTACTAAAGGAAGTATGGAAAAATCTCAAAGCCCCCACTTTGTGCTCATCATCTTAGACACCAACGTCTGCTTAGCATAAACAGGAAGTGGAAAGTTATAGAACTCTCATTCTTATATTTAACCCACTGGCTCTACCAAAAATGAACCATGGATAACTTTCTTCAACTTCTTCTATTATTTTTCTTGTATTCTAAGACTTAGTTCTGGCCTCAGTACAAGTCACAGGACTCCTTGCTAATTAGGTCGAGACAAAAGAGCTTTCTCCTTGACTTTTCTTTCTGTTTTAACCCTGCTGTCTCCTGCTCCCACCCTCCCCACTTAACGCCCTTCCCCTGCTTCTGGCTTTCCAACTCCTAGGCTGTCCCTTCTGCCTATTGTACAAGCAGCTGACCCACCATATGTTTATTACATAAGTCATTTTAAGAGGCCCATGAAAAAGAAAAGAAGTAGACAGACATTTCTGATTTTTCTGCAACGCTGTATACAAATCAACCACAAAGTTGATTAAGCCATGAAAGGCGGGGTGGTGTATTAAGGAGACATAAGCCTAGGTCTTAAGTGCACAGCGTGCCTTCAGAAGAGTGTTAAGCAAAGCTCATGAGGGAATAGAGTGCATAAGCCAACCTTTCATCCCAATTGTTTCCCTGGGAGAACAGTGACTTCCTGCCCAGCAGGAGAAGTGCACAATAGGAGGAAAGAAAAAGAAAATATTGTGAACTCTAAACTCTATGGAAGGAATTATTTTGAAAGCGATAAAAAATTTACTCCAAAGAATACCAGTAAGGAAGGAAACTCCCATTAAATCTACAAGCACATTAAGAACTAAACTCTATTTTTTAAATGCAATAATAACAAGTGAACACTGAGTCCTTTCAATGCACCAGCCATGTGCTAGACACCCTTTACACGGCAGACCAGTTAGTCATTACAATATTTTGAGGTTTGTATGATTACTCTCCCATTTTACAGAGAAGGAAAGTAAAGGAGCCCAATACCACATGGCCAGTAAAAGGTAAAGCCAACATTTAAGCCCAGGCATAGGTGAAAGCAAAGCCTGAGTTTTCTCACTCACTCTCCTGTGGTACCCCACGTAAGCAGAAAGATGGCTGATTCTAAAGCAAAAGTATAAGGCATTAATGTTATTACTATTTTTATCTATGCTATTTAAATTAAGAACTATGAAAAAAGAATTGAAGTGGTAGAATCACAGAGACATTATCAACTGAAGGGTAAACTTTGTAGAAGAAGTTATAGATGACTGCAAAAAAATGGAGTTTCCATGTTGATGGAGGCAACTTACATACAGCAAGTTGGAGCACCTTTCACAAGGCAAAATTGTTAGGGGTTGGATCTATTCCCATTCTGGCTGGAAGAAAAAAAAAAACATTTCCATAGTGGCTTGCTCCACTAGCCACTGGGGAAATATCTGACTACCTCTAATGTTGCCTTAGCCTATCTCCATGGATTCCTCGGCTCTTGAAATTGACTCCTTGTGGTTCCCTCCGTGTCTCTTCTAAGCAGAAAAAGGCCAGTATGGACAAGTGTTCAGGTACGGCATGAGATACCAAAGGCAGAAAAAGGAAGCAAAAAGAGAATCCTTTGCAATCCCAGCAATTTTGGGAGGCTGAGACAGGAGGATCACTTGCGTCCAGGGGTTTGAGACTGGCCTGGGCAACGTAGGAAGACCTCGTATCTACTTAAAAAAAAAACAAACAAAAAAGAAGCTGGACATGGTGATGCACACTTGTGGACCTAGCTACTCAAGAGGTTGAGGCAGGAGAATCACTTGAGCTCAGGAGTTCAAGGCTACAGTAAGCCATGATCACACCACTGTACTCCAGAGCCTGGGTGACAGAGCAAGACTCTACCTAAAAAAAAAAAGAGAGAGGGAGAGAGAATCCTTCGGCACAGGCATCTGATTTGCATCTTCTTCCTGGAGAACCAGAGCTTTGAAATTAAGAGAAAAATGGCAATGAAAAAAAGTAGGATAACTAGGAGCGGGGCCAGAGGCTACCTCCTACAACCCCATTTTTTAGAAATCAGATTCAAGCAAGGGATGCTAACTCCATGATTTTATTCATCCCACAAATGTTTATTAATTGCTTACTCTGTGCCAGGGGCTGTGCCAGGCAAGCAGGGAAGACACAAGTGAATGGGTATGATGGGTGTCATAAGAGAGGAAAGCAGGGTGCACCAGAGGAGCTCATTAATAAAGCTGGATGCTAAGGACCTAAGCGAGCTTCAGGCAGGAAATGGCCCCAGATTCTAGTTCCCTAACTACATTGCAAGCTTTTCTGGGGTCAGAGACTGTTCCTCCTATTCCACACTCTCAAAGAAAGCTTCTAGTTCTGTGGCTTGCAAACCTTTACTTTCATGTATGTATTTTTATTTGTAAGTGTTTATATCAATAAGCAAAACTAAATTTTAGAGACACTGACTAATGTTAGTTTGAATATCATTAGTTTATTATAAAAGACAGACAGGGAAATCTTTTACATGATGAAAGATTTCAGAACTCCAGTGGAATGAGTAGCTTCACATGAGGCCCTTTCAGTAGTGATTTATTTCGGTCTATATACTTTCCAAGAATGCCACCATCTCTAAATAAGAAATGATCCCTGTCATCCAGAACTACTTTGGTGTCTCCATATTCTTCTGGAGGAAGAAACTTATCTGCAGCTTTCAGGCTAACTGGTTGAGTCTCTCAACCCTTTCCCTTAGAGCTGAATATAACAGCTTCTATAGTTGCTTGCAATTCTTTGGAGATTTTTCTGGAAGCATAATACCTCCTTTGGTTACAGTCTCAGCTCCATTTCTTTCAACTAATACCCAGTCAAAGCAGCAAAAAAAACTTTCTAAATGACTCAGGCCACTACAGCTGATGCTCTCTCTTTCAAACTGCTTGCAAGCACAGGAATCCTTATTCACATAAAATCTTACCTGGCAGCACAATGAATACAACAGGAAAAAGGAAAAGGACTGACTGTAACACAGGCAGGACCCTGGGGTCCTATCTGAGCAGGCATGTCTGCTACCAGCCCCCTGCCCTGCTCTTACCCTTCATGTTCTTTGGAGCTTAAGGTTCTACAGAGCACGAATTTTAAAACCACCCATCTACTGAAGCCATTCCTTCCACTTACAAAGGGGAAAATAAAGTGTAAAGAAGAGTTGGAAACATCTGCTCCTTTTTTTCTTTTTTTTTTTTTTATTATGCCTTTTTTCAGAGATGCCCTACCCAGCGCTCCTTTTTCTTTCTTTCTCTTTCTTTCTCTCTTTCTCTCTTTCTTTCTTTCTTGAGACAGGGTCTTTCTCTGTCACCCAGGCTGGAGTGCAGTGGTACAATCACAGCTCACTGCAGCCGCCACCTCCTGGGATCAAGTGATCCTCTCACCTCAGTCTCCCCAGTACCTGAGACCACAGTCGTGTGCCATCATGCCCAGCTTTTTTGTTTGTTTGTTTGTTTTGTAGACACAGGGTCTTGCTATGTTGCCCAAGCTAGTCTCAAACTGGCCTCAAGTGATTCTCCCACCTTGGGCTCCCAAAGTGCTAGGATTACAGGCATGAACCATCACACTCAGCCTTTTTCTTTTTCTTTCTTTCTTTTTTTTTTTTTTTTTTTTTTCTTAGATTCTTGCTCCTTCACCCAGGCTAGAATGCTGTGGTGCCATCATAGCTCACTGCAGCCTTGAACCCCTGGACTCAAGTAGTCCTCCTGCCTCAGGCTCCCAAAATACTAGAATTACAGGCATGAGCCACTGTGCCTGGCCTGCTCATTTCTTTTATACCCCCAAGAACACCTAACATAGTGTACCTATAAAATACAGCTGTAGCATCAATGTGGATAACTGATGAAAGGTATCAGGGCATAGTAAAAAGAACATGGACTTTGTTGTCAGAGGTGCCAGGGTTCGAGTGCTAGTTACGCCATTTAATAAACACGTGTCCAAAGCATATTTGGACACATATGTGAACAAAATATCCTTCACAGGGCTTTTGTGAGGAGAAAGTATGTTTAAAGTAATAATAAAATAACTATAAATATTGTATTTAATAAAATAACTTATTTTTATCAACTGAAATAATTGTGATCATTTATTGAAGATTCAGTCTGTGGTAAGTACTTAGCTGAAAGGCAGGCATTTGCTCAAGAAAATCAGTTTCCTTGCGTCCTGCACATAAAATCTCTTGCCCCTTGGCCCTCTTTAAGTAAGCATTTGTGTACCTTTGGGCTCCTCTGGAAGCACGTGCAGCACCAACGCCTTCTTGAACACCCGGCTCTCCCTTTCGAGGCGGATTTCGCAGGTATAGGTTCCCTGGTCAGCCTCTTGCACATCTTGGAGCAGGAGAGAACCATCATTGCATAAGATGTTCCCCGCCAAGGATGCGCGGCTCTGGAAGCGCCCTGTAGGCACACTGAGATTGGAGTAATAGTACAGCACATATTCATCCTGAAGGGCAAAACAGTGTTGGAAAAAATCAAAACAGGTGCCAGACCGAGGAGCCTGGATCCCAAAGGCTCTGTTACGCGGAGGCAGCAGAGCCAGCATCATGATCATGATCCGAAAGCACTTGGTACCCAGTTAATAACGTGCCAGGCAACGGTCTAACCTGCACAAGCTCTGCGACTCACTTTCTACAAAGACAAATGGAGAAATACGGTCCACATTTTATTTCTTACAGTTTAAGGTAAAATACAGCACCCACTCTGAAGATCACTCTACCATTTTAAACTTACAACTTTTGAAAACCATCTCAAATTTTCACTCTATTTTCTGCCACAGCCCCAGATTAGATGGCATTCAAATGCATGATCTATTTTCACTAGCGCCGTGGGTGGTGTTGGTGTGAGAATTCTAGGGATGGCCGGCTGGCTGCCATTCCTCTCATTTCTATCCTCCTCCCGGCAGCATCGTAACACAAAAGAAGGACTCATCCACAGGGAATGCTCACAGGCTGGACCCTGGGGAATTCTTTTGTTTTTGTTTTTGTTTTTGTCTTGTTTTCCTGTCGCCCAGGCTGGACTACAGAGGCACAATCATAGGTCACTTCAGCCTCGACCTCCTGGGCTCAGGTGATCCTCCCACCTCAGCCTCCCAGGTAGCTGGAACTACAGGTACATGCCACCGTAGCCAGCTAATTTCTGGGTTTTTTTGTTGTTGTTGTTGTTGTTGTTTGTAGAGATGGGTTTTGCCATGTTGCCCAGGCTGGTCCCGAACTCTTGAGCTCGTGATCCACCCGCCTCAGCCTCCCAAAGTGCTGGGATGACACGTGTGAGCCACCACACCCAGCAGCAATTCTTATTTTTACTTACACCATGGGCCTATCCTTCTTATAAAACTAAAGGGCAATAAAAAGTTGAGTGAGAGGTAGCATTATAGGGACAACAGGGAATATGCTCTGAGCTACAAAAACAATATTTTATTTGCAAACATTGGGACTTTATGTTATTAACAAACTACTTGGGACGTTTTTCACAAATGATCCTGATATTTGAGAATCTATACAGACTCTCTGATGAGGCTTAATACACTGTTCCCCACTCCAAAGAGCTCCATGAAAGACCCTCACCTAACCACTACTAATCCCAACACTTTAAGCAGCCACAAAGGAGATGACTTCCACTACATAAATGGGGCAGTGAAACACTGAAAGAATCTGTCCTCCTTCCCACCTCAAAAAAAGATCATTGTGGTATGGTTCGTACATCTAGGTCAGAGCTCTCATTTCTAGAACCCAGGAATTCACCCTTCTCACCCACTTCTGCCTCTTAACAAAGGGTAGAGATGAAGGAAGGAAACTAAAAGAATGTCATGTGCAAGAGCGAGGAACCTCCCATTTCACTGTGTGTGTCTCCCATTAGCCCGTTAACTACTTGAAAGGTAAGCATTACTCTTAGTGAAAGGTAAGCATTACCATTATTGTAATTGCCTTCCTTTTCACAGCTCAGGAGGCTAAGATCAGCAAAATCGAGTAACTTACTTGCCCAGCTGATAACACAGCCAAGTGGCTGAGCTAGGAGGAGGCCCAGTTCTGATAAGCTCCAACCCCCACCCTTGCAACACCTCCTGGTGGCACCTGATGCCTGACTCATACCACTCTGTCCTGACACCATCAGTCAGGGGCTTCTACTACACAGCGATGTTTCCCTGAGTTACCTTGGCGTGCTCTCCTGATGAGAGCATCCAGTCTACTTTGATCATGCGTTTGTCTTCTGTGCTCTGGAAAACACATCCCATCAGAGCTGAATCACCCACATGGACTGTTAGCTCAGGGGAGGAAACAATCTTGTCATTCAGGCCCAAGGAATAATCTATAGAGTCAAAGGTAAGAGGACATATCATTTAGACAAATACCCTCAACAACAAAAATCAATTTCAATCATGGGGTACTAAACACCCCTCTCCCTGGATGATGCAACAGAGACAAAGTCCTCAGAGGTCCCATGTTCAAAGGCAGTGTGGCATTCCTGTCCTCTAGGTACCTGTACGACTCATCAGAAAGGTTCTGCAATCTTCATACTACAACAAAGGCTTTCTGGCTCTCTCCTCCTATCTAGTCCCTTCTGCTTTGCCGGAACCTTTCTAAAGAAGGGAAACCCGGAAGTCTCTCCTTTCTGATTAGTGATCTCCTTTCTGAATACCAATTTACTCACCCACATCCACTTACCACAAACAGGAAATGGAATGTTCCTTGCTCTTAAGTCTCCAACTGGTTCCCTATCTAAAAAGGGATCTTTTCTTTACTTCCTCTTTTCCCTTTCTTTTAGTGTCTTTACAAAAGCTTATCTCTGCATTTGCTGGCTGATTCTGGCTGCAGTCAGGTCCTTACAGAGCACAGCTCCCCTCCCGCATTTGCACCGTGTTTGTCCTCTCCCTGCCTCACCCTCCAGCTTTGCCATCAGCTTCCCAGCCTCTAGGTGCTTCACCCAGGGACCCCTGTCGATTATCTCTATGTTGCTCCAGCAATTTCAAAAGGTCACTACAAGAGAAAACCATTACATGGATATTTCTCTTTTCACAAGATACGCTCTATGCAAAAAGACAACAAAATGAAGAAAGACACATTTAGATGCTGCCCAGTTCATGTCAGAGAAGAGCCAACTGATGGGAATGAACAGAAAATGTGCCAGTCTTTTCATCCAAGCTGTTTCCCCGAGAAAAGAGAGTTAACTTCCTGCCCAACAGCAGGCTCACACAGCGAGGAGGACACAAAAGAAAACATCAACTCTAAACCCTTCAGAGGGAATTATTTTGAAAGAAATCAAAAGCAGCTCCAACAAATATTTGGAATTTTCCTGTAAGGAAGAATTGAGCAACTCCACGTGTGGTTGAAAGCGTAACAAGCAAATTTAATATTAAGAACACTGTGCGTAGAATTAAATGAAGAACTGCTAGGAAGCAACAACAGCAACCAAAGCAAAGAGAAACTGATGTTTGAAGGGTAATCTTAGCAGAGACACAGCTGAAGAAGACGCGACTTTCTGCAAGAAAGGAAAACCGCTCCTCAAAAGAACTACAAAGCCCCCAGTGCCACCAAGCTACCACATACAGGGGTTGGACTGGTAGCTCTCTGGATCGGAGGGCAAAAACCCACAGGCTGCTCCACAGACCTCTGGGAAAATGTCTAAATACCTTCTGAGATCATTATAACCCTGCTTCTTCTCTCTTTTTTTTTTTTTAGATGGAGTCTCGCTCTGTCACCCAGCCTGAAGTGCAGTGGCAAGATTTTGGCTCACTGCCACCTCTGCCTCCCGGGTGCAAGCGATTCTCCTGCCTCAGGCTCCATAGTAGCTGGGACTACAGGTGCGTACCACCACACCTAGCTACTTTATTTCATATTTTTAGTAGATACAGGGTTTCATTGTGTTAGCCAGAATGGTCTCGATCTCCTGACCTCATGATCAGCCTGCCTCGGTCTCCCAAAGTGCTGGATTATAGGCATGAGTCACCACACCCAGCCAACCCTGCTTCTCTGAGAAAAATTCTCTAATGCACACCATTTTGGTGTGTATGTGTGCATGTGTGCATGTTTGTGTACACTCTGTATTTCCTGGAATAGGCGCAAAGGCAACCCTGTTGTGTACTTTGCTGAGTCAGGGTTTAAATCACTGTCCACAGTTCAAAAAATAATAATAAAGAAAAAAAAATAAAAGGCTATGAGAGCAGAGCACTGATTAATTTCTTCTCCTTCCAGAACTACGTCCATAGGATAAAGAAAACGGCATGAGGGAGAAGAATGAAAATTTAGGAAGCAACGGAGATGAGCAACAAGAAGCAGCCCTTAGGTGGAGGGGTAAACAGGAGACTCATCTGCTCAGAGGAGATGGTCAGGTCAGGCTCCTCAGAAGGAAATGGAGCGTAAGGGGAAACCTGAAGGATAAGGAAGTCTTGGGCGGACTTGCTGGGATGAAGTGTTAAGAGGAAAGTCCCAGGCAAAGAAAAGCACCACAAAGTGGTCAAGAGCGCAGTGTGTTTGAGGAAGCGCAAGGAGGCTGGCGTGGCAGTAGCATGAAAACAGCTCTGGGTCTCATCAGTAATTTCCGTTCCTGATCAAAGACGAACTGTGGTTTTAAAGATAACAATTTAAAGTGCAGGAATGCCACAGAGAAACTTTCCTTTTATTACGTAAGAGAGTCGCAGAATACCCTTTAGGACCCAAAAGCATTCAGTTTCAAATGGAAACAGGAAGATTCAGCTTCCCAAGAAACCATAAGCTAACTGGCTTCAAAAACAGCTGCTTTAGCAAAACTGTGAAGTTCCACCTTAGGGTTTCTATCTTCAAAAAACCCAGAGGAATTGAACATATATAAAATTGGCTTTTAACAATGCACAGAACTTAGAAGAAATCAAATACCCTGCTCAATCCCTTGGCTTCTACTTACCCAGTAACACTGGCAGCAGGATGAGTTTCAGTGGGCAAAACATGCTGCTCTCAACTTTCCAATCTTAAGATAAAAGAACAAAATTCAGAAAATCATGTCAAGAGAAGTTCATTAATTGAAAAAACCAATAGTGAAGGACTATATGGAGCAGCCTCTGTTTGAGACACTGGTATGCAGCACTGAACAATAAAGACAGACGAGGTCCCAGCTCATTTGCAGTTTATATGTGGCAAGAGGTGGGGTAAACGAAGCAAATGAATGAATGAATAAGAAAATACCAGATGTCAAAAGTGCTATGATGAAACAAAGTCGTCTTTGGAGAGTCACTTGGGGGCTACTTTAGATTGGCTGTAAGGAAAGATTAGATGAAAGTTGCTTTTCAAGAGAAAAAAAGCAAATGATTGCAGGATGCCCTTGAGAGTACAACCCTAGACGTTCCACTACCTGTGTGTTTCACACAAACAAAAAATTACAGGATATCCAGCCTGAAATTTCCCCCCATCTCTCCGCCTAAATTAGAATCACTAGTCTTTAGGGAGGGAGAGGTGGGGAACAGAAACAGAATCTCACTCTGTTGCCCAGGCTGAAGTGCCATGATGTGATCTCCAGGGCTCAAGCAATGTTTCTCCGTCAGCCTCCTGAGTAGTTGTCTACAGGCATGTCACACCATGCTTACTATTTTTTTTTTTTTTTTTTTTTTTTTTAGTAGTAGTAGTAGTAGTAGAGAGGTCTCACTGTGTTGCCCGAGTTGGTCTCAAACTCCTGGGCTCAAGGGATCCTCCCACCTCAGCCTCCCAAAGTGCTAGGATTATAGGCGTGAGCCACTGTGCCTGGCCCATGGTGAACTTTTCCTTTTTCTTTTTCTTTTTACTTTTTTTTTTCTTTTTTTTTTAATTGCATTTTAGGTTTTGGGGTACATGTGATGAACATGCAAGATTGTTGCATCGGTACACACATGGCAGTGTGGTTTGCTGCCTTCCGTCCCCTCACCTGTATCTGTCATTTCTCCCCATGCTATCTCTTCCCACCTCCCCACCGCCCCGCCCCTCCCCCATTTCCCCCCAACGGACCCCAGTGTGTAGTGCTCCCCTCCCTGTGTCCATGTGTTCTCATTGTTCAACACCCACCTATGAGTGAGAATATACGGTGTTTGATTTTCTGCTCTTGTGTCAGTTTGCTGAGAATGATGGTTTCCAGGTTCATCCATGTCCCTACAAAGGACGTGAACTCATCGTTTTTGATGGCTGCGTAATATTCCATGGTGTATATGTACCACATTTTCCCTATCCAGTCTATCATCGTTGGGTATTTGGGTTGGTTCCAGGTCTTTGCTATTGTAAACAGTGCTGCAATGAACATTCGTGTGCACGTGTCCTTGTAGTAGAATGATTTATAATCCTTTGGATATATACCCAGTAATGGGATTGCTGGGTCAAATGGGATTTCTATTTTTAGGTCCTTGAGGAATCGCCACACTGTCTTCCACAATGGTTGAATTAATTTACATTCCCACCAACAGTGTAAAAGTGTTCCTATTTCTCCACATCCTCTCCAGCATCTGTTGTTTCCCGATTTTTTAATGATCGCCATTCTTACTGGTGTGAGATGGTATCTCAATGTGGTTTTGATTTGCATTTCTCTGATGACCAGTGATGATGAGCATTTTATCATATGTTTGTTGGCCTCCTGTATGTCTTCTTTTGTAAAGTATCTGTTCATATCCTTCGCCCATTTTTGAATGGGCTTGTTTGTTTTTTTCTTGTAGATCTGCTTTAGTTCTTTGTAAATTCTGGATATCAGCCCCTTGTCAGATGGGTAGGCTGCAAACATTTTTTCCCATTCTGTTGGTTGCCGATTCACTCTACTGACTGTTTCTTTTGCCGTGCAGAAGCTGTGGAGTTTGATTAGGTCCCATTTGTCTATTTTGGCTTTTGTTGCCATTGCCTTTGGCATTTTGGTCATGAAGTCCTTGCCTACACCTATGTCCTGAATGGTTTTGCCTAGATTTTCTTCTAAGGTTTTTATGGTATTAGGTCTGATGTTTAAGTCTTTAATCCATCTGGAGTTAATTTTGGTGTAAGGTGTCAGGAAGGGGTCCTGTTTCTGCTTTCTGCACATGGCTAGCCAGTTTTCCCAACACCATTTATTAAACAGGGAGTCCTTTGCCCATTGCTTGTTTTTGTCAGGTTTGTCGAAGATCAGATGGTTGTGGGTATGTTGTATTTCCTCTGAGGCCTCTGTTCTGTTCCATTGGTCTATATCTCTGTTTTGGTACCAGTACCATGCTGTTTTGATTACTGTAGCCTTGTAGTATAGTTTGAAGTCCGGTAGTGTGATGCCTCCTGCTTTGTTCTTTTTGCTTAGAATTGACTTGGCTATGCGGGCTCTCTTTTGGTTCCATATGAAGTTTAAGGTGTTTTTTTCCAGTTCTGTGAAGAAGGTCATTGGTAGCTTGATGGGAATAGCGTTGAATCTGTAAATTACTTTGGGCAGTATGGCCATTTTCACGATGTTGATTCTTCCTAACCATGAACATGGAATGTTTCTCCATCTGTTTGTATCCTCTCTTATTTCGTTGAGCAATGGCTTGTAGTTCTCCTTGAAGAGGTCCTTTACGTCCCTTGTTAGTTGTATTCCTAGGTACTTTATTCTCTTTGCAGCAATTGTGAATGGCAGTTCGTTCTTGATTTGGCTCTCTTGAAGTCTATTACTGGTGTATAGGAATGCTTGTGATTTTTGCATGTTGATTTTGTATCCTGAGACTTTGCTGAAGTTGTTTATCAGTTTCAGGAGACTTTGGGCTGAGATGATGGGGTCTTCCAGATATACAATCATGTCATCTGCAAATAGAGACAATTTGATTTCCTCCTTTCCAATTTGGATACCCTTTATTTCTTTTTCTCGCCTGATTGCTCTGGCTAGAACTTCCAGTACTATATTGAATAGGAGTGGTGAGAGAGGGCATCCTTGTCTAGTGCCAGATTTCAAAGGGAATGCTTCCAGTTTTTGCCCATTCAGTATGATATTGGCTGTTGGTTTGTCGTAAATAGCTTTTATTGTTTTGAGATACGTTCTGTCAATACCTAGTTTATTGAGGGTTTTTAGCATAAAGTGTTGTTGAATTTTGTCGAAAGCCTTCTCTGCATCAATTGAGATAATCATGTGGTTTTTGTCTTTGGTTCTGTTTATGTGGTGAATTACGTTTATGGACTTGCGTATGTTGAACCAGCCTTGCATCCCTGGGATGAATCCTACTTGATCATGGTGGATGAGCTTTTTGATATGCTGTTGCAATCGGTTTGCCAGTATTTTATTGAAGATTTTTGCATCTATGTTCATCATGGATATTGGCCTGAAATTTTCTTTTCTTGTTGAGTCTCTGCCGGGTTTTGGTATCAGGATGATGTTTGTCCCGTAAAATGATTTGGGAAGGATTCCCTCTTTTTGGATTGTCTGGAATAGTTTCAGAAGGAATGGTATCAGCTCCTCTTTGTATGTCTGGTAGAATTCAGCTGTGAACCCATCTGGACCTGGGCTTTTTTTGGGTGGTAGGCTCTTTATTGCTGCCTCGACTTCAGACCATGTTATTGGTCTATTCAGGGTTTCGGCTTCTTCCAGGTTTAGGCTTGGGAGGATGCAGGTGTCCAGGAATTTATCCATTTCTTCCAGGTTTACTAGTTTATGTGCATAGAGTTGTTTGTAATAATCTCTGATGATAGTTTGGATTTCTGTGGAATCTGTGGTGATATCCCCTTTATTGTTTTTTATTGCATCAATTTGGTTATTCTCTCTTTTCTTTTTTATTAATCTGGCTAGTGGTCTGTCTATTTTGTTGATCTTTTCAAAAAACCAGCTCCTGGATTTATTGATTTTTTGAAGAGTTTTTTGTGTCTCTATTTCCTTCAGTTCTGCTCTGATCTTAGTTATTTCCTGTCCTCTGCTAGGTTTTGAGTTTTTTTGATCTTGCTCCTCTAGCTCTTTCAATTTTGATGATAGAGTGTCAATTTTAGATCTCTCCTTTCTTCTCATGTGGGCACTCATTGCTATATATTTTCCTCTAGAGACTGCTTTAAATGTGTCCCAGAGATTCTGGTATGTTGTGTCTTCGTTCTCATTGGTTTCGAAGAACATCTTTATTTCTGCCTTCATTTCATTGTTTATCCAGTCAACATTCAAGAGCAAGTTGTTCAGTTTCCATGAAGCTGTGCGGTTCTGAGTTAGTTTCTGCATTCTGAGTTCTAACTCGATTGCACTGTGGTCTGAGAGACTGTTTGTTATGATTTCTGTTCTTCTGCATTTGCTGAGGAGTGATTTATTGCCAATTGTGTGGTCAATTTTAGAGTAGGTGTGATGTGGTGCCGAGAAGAATGTATATTCTGTGGATTTGGGGTGGAGAGTTCTGTAAATGTCTATTAGGTTTGCTTGTTCCAGGTCTGTATTCAGGTCCTGGATATCCTTGTTGATTTTCTGTCTGGTTGATCTGTCTAATATTGGCAATGGGGTGTTAAAGTCTCCCACTATTATTGTGTGGGAGTCTAAGTCTCTTTGTAAGTCATTAAGAACTTGCCTTATGTATCTGGGTGCTCCTGAATTGGGTGCGTATATATTTAGGATCGTTAGCTCTTCTTGTTGCAGTGATCCTTTTACCATTATGTAATGTCCTTCTTTGTCTCTTTTGATCTTTGTTGCTTTAAAGTCTATTTTATCAGAGATGAGAATTGCAACTCCTGCCTTTTTTTGCTCTCCATTTGCTTGGTAGATCTTCCTCCATCCCTTTATTTTGAGCCTTTGTGTATCCTTGCATGTAAGATGGGTTTCCTGGATACAGCACACTGATGGGTTTTGGCTTTTTATCCAATTTGCCAGTCTGTGTCTTTTGATTGGGGCATTTAGTCCACTGACATTTAGGGATAGTATTGTTATGTGTGAATTTGATGCTGTCATTTTGACGCTACCTGGCTGTTTTGTTGTTTAGTTGATGCAGATTCTTGATTGTGTTGATGCTCTTTTACCATTTGGTGTGTTTTTGGAGTGGCTGGTACTTTATATGTGTAGAGCCTCTT